ATATATTTATATATACACACACATTACAACAAATGTGTTTTCTAAATAGCACATCCACAGTGGGTTGAGACTCAGGGTACCAGGTCTGATTACTTGGTTTCTGCAGAAAAAATGCAGAAATCCAAGGAGAGGATGGTAGAGAAAGGGATGGGGCAGAAAAACCCAAAAAATTGTAAGGCGAGAATTCACTCACATGGTACAACATTGCCCCAAGGTGATGTTTCCAACAGAAACGGGGGGACGATGGTCCACACAGCGAGAGATGAAGCAGGCAGGAGGAGAGGTGGGCAGAGGAAATGTACCATTCAAATCACAATTAAAGTACAACTGTACATACCCCGGGAGCCCTACGGTGCTCTCTGCTAAGGGCTACAAGCAGGCGCACATGTGCATGGGGGTGTTGGGGGGGGGTGCCGCCAAGGTTGTACCATTTTCCCAACTGTTCAGCTACCAAAAAGATTTAAAAAAATAATTAAATTGTGGGGAATGAGGAATTTCTGAGTGTTGGTGATTTTATCTTGCAGTAGTTTAATAAAAAGGATATAAAACTCCCATCCACCCCGGGGTTATTGTGAACGCTGAAAACCAAGAATAGCTTTACCAGCAACCCTCTCGCTTCCTCGTGGGCCCCTGCCTGCCAGCCCGCACCTCCCGCCTCTCCTACCCTTGGTGCCGGGAGCAGCCCAAACCTCTTCCTCAGCATTGCTCCATCATCTGCCAGCACCTCTCCCCTGGCCCAGCCCTGCGGAAGACCCCCTTTAATAAAACCCCCCATGCACGGGCTATCCAGACCCGGGAAGGAGTTTTCTTCCTTTTCCCCAATTTAAGATGGGGGAGGTTGGTGGTTTCGGAGGATTTGGGGTCTATGCTGGAAACCCTTCCTTGCCCCAGGACCCTTTCCCAGGCAACTAATTCCACCTAACACACTAACCCACGCACCAGCCTCCCACCTATTATTTACAGAGAGGTGTTAAAACCAAGTGGGGATGGAAATGACGGGGCTCTGATATAAGCCTGGATGGGCTTGCAGACACCCGCTCAAATCCTCTATGTTTCCTTGTACCTCAGCACCTTTGGAAAGGAACGAGTGAGGTGGAAGGTGTCCCCGCTCAAAGGACGTTTTCCCTTCCAAAGGATCGATGTGGGGTATTTCCAGTTCCTGTAGCATGGTGGAGATTTCTTGCCTTGAAATCTCTGCCGAGGGAGAGGATGGGCTTGGGGCAATCGCTCCATCAGGCAGTAGGTGTGAGATGGCCTGACACAGCGGTGACAGCACAGTGTGGTCCTCAGCTCCCAGTCGCCACAGCAGCAGCCTCCTGCTCCCCAGTCCTTCTGCTTCCCAAATGCCCTCCCAGGGAGGGACAGCAGGGATCAGAGGATTGGTTCAGTTGCAGACATAAATTTTGCAGCAATCCAAGCACTCCGGAATGGAGGTTAAACCCACCGCTGCTTTTAGTGCTTCGCCCCAAGATTTGGAGAGGCTGTGACCTCCCACCAGCCTCAGGCAGGCAAGGACCCTCCTAATGCCAGAATAAATCCAGCGCTATAGTCCAGCCTGGGGGCACTGACACAGCTGAACCACTACCATTTTCACACAATAAAACCAAACAATTCAAAGCATACCATTAAAACCCTTTTATAACCCTATGTACACACACACTGTTGATGCATCATCAACTCCTTTTGTTTTTTTGTTGCTTTTTGAATTTAAAAATCCCCCAGTCCAAGGGGATGCTTCGCTACCAATTTTTTTTCCCCTTATCAATTCTGAAACTCCTCTTCCTTGAGAGAAGTTCTGGCCCTACAGAAACCGCTGGGAAAACTCTAGGAGAACACAACAGGCTTGGAGCTCACCCACTGAGCATCACCAGCAGAAAAATCAGGGTTTGGGAGGGGAGCAGAAAACACCTATGTACCTTTTCGTTCAGTGGATACTGCATAACAGCCTTAAACAGAAGTAATCCCATGTCATAAATACAACCCTAAACAATCCAAAATTAGATAGAAGGGAAAGGAAGAAAGGAGGGAAAAAAAAAAAGGAGATAAAAAGTCTTAATCCTCTTTAATAGTTCTTTTGCTGAGGGTATTATTTCACCTTTTTAAAAATTATACAGTCAAAAACTCTTAGACAACAGGAACACACAGCTCCAGCTCCTGCTCAGAGCAGCTGCATATGCCACAGGCTGGAGAAATGCTGCAGCGCCGGCAGGTTTCAGCAGTCTCCAGCACCACGTGGAGCTGGAAAGCATCCGTTTCCTCCTCCAGCAGTGAAAGAGGAGTTTCATGTCTCAGCCGGGTGACTGTTTAAAAAGTGACAGTCGTCAAACGGTCTGAAAACCCTCTAAATGCTGGAGCGGTGCCAGCCGCACCTCCTGCCCCTCCAGAGTCGCATCACGAGCAGTATGTACAATGAAGACGACATCAATGCTTTTCTTCTTTGTACGATCACGTACCTAAATGCCGAACGTCCATCTGGTTTGGTCTTGTCCTCAGCCAATGCACCGGCCACTCCATCGCAGGCTGGGGACAATGGGGAGCCCGAGCCCCCAGGGAAAGGCAGAGTCACAAATCCCACGGGCACCAGTTCCAGCATCCGCATGCTGGGGTCTCACCTCCCCGCTCGGTGCTTCAGGAGCGATGCGCAAGGTCATCACCGCTGTGCGTTGCCTTCCACAGGGAGAATGGCATGGTGCAGGCTCCGCGTGTGCTTCGAATCTAGTGTTTCATGCTCTTCCGTGAAGCTGTCCGGGCTCGCCGCTCCATCTAAAGAACTGCCACAGCTAGAGTTGGGAGACAACATGTCCTGCAGGAGGTCTTCCTGGACTATCCCAGAGTCTTTGTTCACTTTGCCCCTTTGGTTTCCTTCCTCCTCCTGGTCATTGAGCAGCTTGGCCAGGAAGTTGATGTATTTCATCGCCAGGC